TATAAAGCTGAGTGAGTAGGGGTGGAGAAGATCTGGGAGGAGTTGGGGTAGGGGAAAACATGATCAAAATATATTGCAAGGAAAACCAATTTTAATTAAAAACAGCAAAATATAAAGAATGCATAGAGTGGGGACTAGCCAAGTATTTGTTTGAGTGGGTATCTTAATCTAGCTGTGTGCTGTTTTCTTTGTGAGTTTATTATAATAAAGTGATTTTTATTAAAAAATGCCCATTATTGAAAAACATTTTCCTAAAAGTATAAGAACACTTAAAATAATCTACATATGAGTATATGCATAATTTAAAAGGTAACAGAGTCTATCAAGTCTTTATCATATATTTTTACTATACATATGTATTTACAGCATATGCATATATACACAATCCAGTATATATATTGACATTAAATATTTTTCTATGTATTTTAAAACTTCAAGCTACCTCTTTTAAGGCTCTGTTTTTACTTGTTTAGAATATAAACTATCATTAATAAAAATTCAGAAGGGAGAATAGTAGGGGAGCACTTTAAATTTTTTATTAGTTCTTCAAGAATGTCATACAGTATATTTTGATCATATTTACCCCCTCCCAACCCTTCCCAGACTCATCACCCACCTTATCAACCCACTCAACTTTGTGCCCCTCCTTTTTTAAACTATCAAGTTTCAAGTTTAATTTGCTCTGCCTATATGCTCTGGGATATGTGGTCATCTACTGGAACATGGTCAACCAGCCAAGGGCCACACCCTTAAAGAAAACTGGCTCCCTCTCCCAGCAAGCATCAGTTGCCATAGCTCCTCAGCTAGGGAAGGGATTCCTAGCCACCTCCCTACTCCATGATGGACTTTTAGTATTTTGAGATCTTGCAGGTCTTAGATATGCTGTCAGAATCACTGTGAATTTTTATTTCTATGTCAGAGATGTCAACAATAAGGCCATTAAGGATAATCATCTTATCCCTGATTTCACAGCTGATAAGCAACAAATTGGGGCCAGATTTCACAATAAGATCTGATGTCAAGAATTTCCAGGTCCCACCATGTCCTTTTACTTCCCATTCAGTTTTGGCTAATGCTACAACACAGGTTTTCAAACTCTTCTCTTTACACAAGTGACTTATTTTTTCCTCACACCTGCAGGAAACAGAGCCCCTCCCTACACTGGAAGATACAGCTTTTAACTGCCAGGAATAGTGGAGGATTATGGTGGAATGAACTAGTCCCAGGGAGAAATCACCATGCAAAGCCTGAGATGCAAAGGATGTAAGTCTCAGGGGATGCCCAACGTACTTTGGAGCTACTGCCAAGAGGGGCATTGAGTTTATGGTTCCTTGTTTTGATGAGGCATAGACTCATCAAGATTTCATAGAAAACAATTCTTGTTTTGAGACCACTGCAAAAGATGGACCCTACTCAGATAAGAAGGGAGATAGACTACCTTTAAATATATTATGTTTAATTAGGAAAATACATGATGGAATATAACTACTCTGGACCAATGGGTCTCATAAGTAGGGACCACTGGATTAAGGTGGATGAAGAGGCAATCATGTGACTCTACGCCCTGAAGATAGACAGTGCTTGAAGTATGGAGTCACCTGCTTCAACAAGTTTCCAAGGACTTGCTTAATTCATGTCGATAGATGTTTTCCAGATAAAACATGATCACACTTTTAGGACCTTCAAGCATCATTTAAACTGCTGTTTGGTTGAAATATTTTTGTAATTGTCATTAAAAGAAAATGTTACAGGTGGTGGCACAGGCCTTTAATCCCAGCCCTCGGGAGACAGAAACAGGCGGATCTCTGTAAGTTTGAGGCCAGCCTGGTCTCCAGAGCGAGTGCCAGGATAGGCTCCAAAGCTACACAGAGAAACCCTGTCTCGAAAAACCAAACCAAACCAAACCAAAACAAAACAAAAAACAAAAAACAAAACCTTTTTATTTTAAAATGCTGCCAGTGCTACCTAATGAGAAGTTACTTTTTTAAAGCAGGAATTATAAGAGGTAAAAATTATTATATTTTATATTAGAATGGGCGTTCTCTTTAGCATGGTGGGTAAAAATACCCTGTGCTTCAGTGATTGGGTGATGAAGACACAATGTGGTCAATTAAGTAATTAATTTACTTTTTACGTAATTTAATTCATTTTATGAGCCAATTGAGTCACTTACATTTGTTGAAATGCCAAATCCCCATACTTTGGATGTGTACTAAAATAAGATTAGGCATTGGATAAGTACTACTATTCTTATTGTTGGATAAATACTTCTATATTTATAAGGAATTATAACCTTTTAAAGAATTCCTAGCACCTTCTCCAAAGATGCTTGGCTTCCTCTTGGCACATTTAGAATGCTCTAATAAACCATTTATCAGGAGGATAGAGATAATGAGCTGTATGAAATGTGTTTGTTGCCAGAGAAGCTAGTAAACAAGGAGGAACCTCAGAGAGACATACATGGTCCCCTGGAGAAGGGGAAAGGGTCAAGATCCCCTGAGCAAATTGGGAGCATGGGAAGAGGGGGGAGGGAGCTAGGAGAATGAGAAGGGGAGAAGAGGAGGGATGCAGAGGACATGAGGGAGCAGAAAAGTTGAGTCAGGTGAAGAATAGAAGATAACAAGAATGGAGATACCATAATAGAGGGAGACATTTTAGGTTTACAGAGAAATCAGGCACTAGGAAAATGTCTGGAGATCTACAAAGATGACAACAG